AAAAACTAGGAGGCTCTCAAAACCCCTTGTAAATTATCCCCCAGGCAAGTTCAATGCATTCAATATTTCAACTGTTTTAATTTCACCTTAAAATATATTCCTGGGGGCAAGAACTTTCTGGCGGATGCCTTGTTCAGAATGCTCCAGTTCAAAAGCAACAGAGAGGAAGTGATTAACTCCATTATTCCTTTGCCCCAGTCTGCATCCCAAATAACAACCAGATCACACATACACAGACCCTCTGCAGGTCCTGACGATCGATCATTAAAGGAACTAAAGGAGAAGTTAGAGACTGATGCCTGGTTCAAAGATAACAGGTCTATATTGACTTTAAGAGGGGGATTAGCTTGGAAAGGTTCTAAGTTATACCTCCCAGAAAGCCTCAGACTCCAGGTGTTGCAACAGAGTCATGACGCTAAGCAAGTGGGTCACTTTGGATTTTTAAAAACATTGCATCTAGTGCGCAGGCAATTTTGGTTGCCAAAAATGAAAAAAGACATTGAGAGTTATGTAAAAAGTTATGCCACTTGTACTACCATGAAGAAACGTCCCGGAAAACCGCCAGGTTTATTGCAGCAAGTGGCCGACCCCTCTCAGCCTTGGGAGGAGATAGCCATAGATTTTATAGTAGAGTTATCTGAGAGAAAGAGAAACATTGTGATATGGACTGTGATTGATTTATTTTCCAAACAGGCACATTTCATCGCTTGCTCAGGGCTTCCTTCTGCCCAGAAACTAACCAAACTATTTTTGCAGCACATATACTGGCTCCATGGTGCCCCAAAGTGGATTATCTCTGACAGGGGGGTGTAGTTTACTGCAAAACTTTGGAGGCAATTTGTTAAACTGATTGGGTCCTTCCAGGGGCTTTCATCTGCTTTTCATCCGAATACTAATGGTGTCGCTGAAAAAGCTAACGCAATGGTGGAACAGTATCTCAGGTGTTATGTGAATTACCAGCAGTTGAATTGGGCTGACCTTTTACCTTTTGCAGACGTTGCCTACAATACTACTGTGCAATAGTACTGGTCTCACCCCATTCAAAATAGTGATGGGTAGAGATTTTGTGCCCATGCCTGAGTTCCCATAGGAACCACCTACTTCCCAAACCTTGGATCAATGGGTGACATCTTTCCAGGGTGTTTGAGTGAATGTGAAGAAAACATTGGCTAAAGCCACAAAGGTTTACAAGGAGCAAGCAGACAAATGACGTTCCCCTCAAAAACCTTTTTATATTGGGCAATTAGTTTATCTTTCAACGAAATATCTACAGTTAAAATTGTCTAGCAAGAAATTGGGTCCAAAGTTCCTTGGTCCTTTTCACATTGTCAGGATCATAAACCCTGTTACGGTGGAGTTAAAGCTTCCACGATTGTTGGGGAAAAACCATCCTTGTTTCATTGCAGTCTTTTAAAACCAGTGTCAGAATCCACCTTAAGACCCATTCCAAAAAAGCCACCTGGCCCAGTGATGGTGGAGAGAAAGACACATTATGAGATTAAACATACTCTGGACTCTAGATTGCACAAGGGAAAGCTACAATACCTTGTCCAGTGGAAAGGTTACCCCTTTTCAGAGGCTACATGGGTGAAATGTGCAAATGTGAAGGCAGATAGGTTAATAAAGAAATGTTATGATAAGTACCCTTACAAGCCCGAGGGGATGGATAACGTGATTTCTGTTTCCCCTGAAGGAGACTCTTTCTTTCTGAAGAGGAGCCGACTGTCAACTTTAGAATAAGCATGGTTGCAGAGATCTTTTTACTTCTCATTCCTAGTTGCCACATAGCACAGAGGGAGGGGGTTTGCCAGGTGTTGTGCTAGACCAGGGATGTCAAACTGCCGGCCCGCAGACTGGTTTCATCATACCAGAGCCGCGCCCACCCCATTGCCGGCAATGGCGAAAAAGCTCCGATACGTCGGGCAACGTCATGTGAGGTTGCAAGTTTGACATGCCTGTGCTAGACAAAACAGACTTTCTCTGTCGGACTTTATTTCATGGGAACCAAGGTCATCGGCTGCTCCCAAGACTGCAGGCTGGGCGTTTCATGAAAAGCCCACCAACAAACCGAGTGGGGAAACGTAGTTGCTTGCATAGATTTGGGGGTGGGATTTTTTTAACTTTGTATTGGGAATTGTTATGCATCTCTTCAGACTTGGTTTTTTTTTTAAAGTACCGATACTCTGTATCAATAAACATGTTCTTTGAGGAATCTCCAAGCCTCAGAGTTCTGCTTTATTTGTCTCTGTCAATAGGAACCATGACAGAAGTGAGGAAAGCTAAGGCTCAAAATGAACTAAGTCTTGTGACAAAAATAGCTTCTTTCAACAATGCTAAAAACAAGAAAAAAGTCAAGGAAACAATTGGCCGATTAGTGGGATAAAGTGGCAAGAAGGTGACAGGCAACAGGGAGAAAGCAGAAGTACTTAACTAATTTTTTGCATCCATCTTTACACAAAGGAAAAAAAACAGTCCAACCTATCAAAAACAGTACCGTAAAAAATAGATTAGAAACAGAAGTTAAATTAGGCAAGAAAATCGTAAGTCAGCACCTGTCCACCCTAGACGAGTTCAAATCACCAGGACCAGATGGATTACACCCCAAGGTTCTGAAGGAACTGGCAGACATGATCTCAGAACCATTGAACTAAATTTTTTCAAAGATCCTGGAGCACTGGGGAACTACCAGAGGACTGGAAAAGAACTGATGGAGTTCCCATCTTCAAAAAAGGGGAAAAAATGGATCCAGGAAATTACAGACCTATCAGCCTCAATACCTGGGAAGATTCTGGAAAAGATAATCAAGCAACAAATCAGTGAACATCTAGAGGCAAACAAAATCATAACCCAAAGCCAAAAATGGGTTTGTCAAAAACAGATCATGCCAGACAAATCTTATTGCATTCTTTGCCCAGGTGACAAAATTAGTGGACCAGAGGAATGCTATAAATATAATTTACTTGGACTTCAGTAAGGCAGTTGATAAAGTAGACCACAACCTACTATTTGATAAGATAGAAAAATGTGGGTTAGACAGCATCACCACCAGATGGACCAACCGCACTCAACATGTAGTGCTCAATGGAACTTCATCTACATGGAGGGAAGTATGCAGTGGTATACCCGAAGGCTCTGTTTTAGGTCCTGTGCTCTTCAACATCTTCATCAATGATTTGGATGAAGGGACAGATGGGGAACTCATCAAATTTGCAGATGACACCAAGCTGGCACAAATAGCCAACAATCCAGAAGATAGGCTTAAGATACAGAAGGATCTTGACAGACTTGAACATTGGGCCCTATCTAAAAAAATGAAATTCAATGGTGAAAAAAGTAAGGTTCTACATTTAGACAAGAAAAACCAAATGCACGGGTACAGTAGAGATGGTACCTCACTCAATAGTAGGAATTGTGAGAGGGATCTTGGAATTCTAGTGGACAATCACTTAAATATGAGCCAGCAGTGAGCTGCAGCTGCCAAAAAAACAAACAGTTTTAGGCTGCATTAACAGAGGGATAGAATCAAGATCACGTGAGGTGTTAATACCACTTTAGTAAGACCACATTTGGAATACTGCATCCAGTTTTGGTCACCATGATGTAAAAAATGTTGACTCTAGAAAGAGTGCAGAGAAGAGCAACAAAGATGATCAGGGAGAGGCTAAAAGATATAAGAACAATTGCTGGAATTGGATATGTCTAGTTTAATGAAAAGAAGGACTACGGATGACATGATAGGAATATCTCAGGGATTGCCACAAAGAAGAGGGAGTCAAGTTATTCTCCAAAGCATCTGAGGGCAGAACAAGAAACAATGGATGGAAACTAATCAAGGAGAGAAGCAACCTAGAACTAAAAAGAAATTTCCTGACAGTTAAAACAATTAACCAGTGGAACAACTGGCTTCCAGAAATTGTGAATGCTCAAATACTGGAAGTTTTTAAGAAAAGATTATTCTATTCTGTTCTGTATTTCCGTGGCTTCATACTGTATAAATCCAGCTCCTATGATCTGTAAACCATCGTTTCTTACTTAATACAATATCCCAACTCTATACAACTTTAAAAGTAGTCCTCGACTTATGACCACAATTGTGTTGCTAAGTGAAACATTTGTTGAGTTTTGCCCCAGTTTACAACCTTTATTGCCACAATTGTTAAGTGAATCACTGCAGTTAAGTTAGTAACATGGTTGTTAAGTGAATGTGATTTCCCGATTGACTTTGCTTGTCAGAAGGTTGCAAAAGGTGATCACATGACCCCAGGACACTGCAACCATCATAAATAAGAGACAGTTGCCAAGCATCCAAATTTTGATCATGTGACCCTGGAGATGCTGCAATTGTCGTGTGAAAAACGGTCGTTAATAGTGAACCCATTATGTGGCTAATGTCATACTTGAAATCAACAGGAAAGTAGCTAAAAATAAAATCGCCAATGATCTTACATAAACCTGTGGACCCTACTTTTCTCCCACTCATATAGTTAAAGTGATATCCAATAAAAGGAGATTCATAACAATGAAATTAAGTTATTTGCACAAATCATTTAAAATTAAAGAATTCACCACCTTTAGATTCTGTGGAAGATGGAGTTAGGATCCAAGAGTTAGTATGCAACCATGAAGTCTGCATACCACAGGAACAAACCTTTTAGTCTCCTTTAACGAGGGCACCTATCGCCTATCGTTTTATACTGGGAGCTTCCCGATTTCCGTTCGTGAGGCCACTGTATCACCCAAAATGCTGGTGTGACTATGCCCAAGCCCATAGAGGCTCCTGGGGGTCCCAGCTACACGCATGCATTGCAGAGAGAACCTATCAAGAGTTGAAGTCGGACCTTTTCTTACGGCCCTGAAAAACATGAGGCGCTCCAGATCTCCGCCGATGAAATAATGCGGAGGTCCTTACCGGCTCTGTATTACGATTCTCAGCAAATGAGCTAGAACAGAAACCGTATTTTTCCTTCGTTGTGGGAACAAAACAGAAATCTATGACCTACCCCGCTGCTCGACGCCATCTTGCCTCCGAAGAGTCCGGAAAGCCGGAAAACGACGCGCGCCCTCCCAGAGCTCGGGAAGGGCAGGCTCCGCGGCGTCGGAAGGTCTTCCTGGCCGTAGAGGCACCCGGAAAGTGGAGAGGAGGGTTAGGTGGGCCTCGGCCCTTTCTTCAAAGCGGCCAGGAGCCCCCCCTTCCTCACCGTAGGTATCTTTCTGCTGGTCGGATGCTCCCAAGTCTGAACCTGGAGGCTGAAGGAACGCGCGCTACGCGGTTTGCTTTTACTTTATGCTTTAGGCGTAGTTGCAAACTCTAGTTGCAAATCTTTAAACAAAGGTGTGTTTGTCCACGTGTTCGTGGCACGTGTCACTTTTTTAGCCGTAAAACAAACCGAGGGGTTAAAATAAACAGAAAAGTATGTCAGAAGACCGAAGCAGGGTGGGTGAATTGGTTAATTTTCTGCAGTATTTCTCAACGTTGATGATTTAAAGATAGAAAGACTTCAACTCCCAGAATTCCCCAGGCAGCAGACTGGCTTGAGGTATTCTGGGAGTTGAAGTCCACCTATCTTAAACTTTTCCAAGGTTGAGCAACACTGGTTTTTCCTTTTAAATCTGTGACCAAAAAAGTGAAAACGATTTACTTCCAGTGAGGAATATGCTGTTTTATGAAATATTGCCATTCTCTGACCTAAGCTTTTTTCTTCGAGAGAGGGACTTTGATTTAGAAAATTTCCTTTGAACAATTTATGTATTTTATGGGAATTTTAGAGAACGATCATAAAGAAATTCTTGCTTATTTAGAACTTTTATCTGCACAGCCCTTTCTCGTTTTGTGAAACGGCGGTTTAACTTCTCAAAAATTGCATTTGGGCGTTAATAGCCATTCTTGTCTCGTTCGATTCCTTAATCTAATTAACATTACACAATGTTTGTGAAAGTCGGCTGGTGCCTTTTGTATTGGCGCTGCTCGCAACAAGGAAGTGATGCGAAGTTCGTGGCATTTAGCGCGCTCTTGGGCAGGGATGGGATCTTTCTTGCTGAGGGATAGTTTCAATGGATCTTTTTCTTCCTGTTTCTGAAGTGTGTTTCCTGCTTCAAAATGGCGGAAAATCCCGCCCTTCATTTCTACCAATAGAGAGGTGTGTGGGCTGTGCAAGAAAGAAGCTAGGGACTTTAGGTTACTCATCCCCTTAGTATTGGCAGTAGGAGTGATACAGTTATACCAGACCTAAACTGTACTATGCCATAAAGTTTACTGTGTGATGCTTATGCCAATCATATCTTGACCTAATCTTTCTAATAGATTTGGGAGATCCAAATGAAATGAATCCCTATTCGGTATACCTGTTAAGCTCTATAGTGGAAGAGTCGAGAAGTTATGAGTGATCAATGAATGCAAGTGTTATTTTGCTCTGTAATTACGTTGCATCTTTGTTTGCTGTGGTACTAAACATTAGGCCAATATGATTTCTTCATTAAAGGATTTATCTATATTTTTCTCCTTTTCTCCATTTTCTTTGCATGTCTTATTCTTTATAGATCATAATTTTGCCCACCTCTGGCTAAAATGAAGGCAATTCTTCATGTATCTGATGTACTAGTAATATTACACTACAGTAGCTGATGTAATTATCTAAACTTTCCAACATGCACTGGATCACTGTTTTAAGAACGGCTTCCTTTCAAACCCAGCACTTGGCTGTACAGTTTCGCATCCTACGTTTATTTTCCAGTCATCTTCCAAGTCAGGTATGCCCCATTTAGCAGTACTTAATTCTCCTCAATATAGTCTGTTATGTATTTAGAATTCTAAGATTATTTTGATCTATGGCTCTGTTTATTGGCTGGGAACTATCTCAATTGCAAATATTGGAACGGAAAAATATATAATATTTTTATTTATCCTTCATTATTACACACAGCCCTTTCTTAATCTGTAGATGCTAATGTATGAACAATATTTTATTTATTCTTTTCAATTTAAAAGATACCAGATAGCTAGATTGGGAAAAAACACGTTGCTAGATTGTTTGTGGAATTCTTTAATCACATAAGCCTGGGTTAGGTGGGCAGTCATCTGAATTAATATTAAAATGTTACTTCAACATATTTAGGAGGGCTTGTTAACAATATTTAAGTTAAGTACAATATCGTATGCCAAGTTTCTAACATTAATACATAGCACTGTGTTAAGCACTTTTAATATTTCCTTCTCTGGGGGGGCTGACTTCCCACAAATCCCCCCCCCTTTGTGCCATAAGAGTGTGGATAACATACTTTTACTGGCACAAAATTAAAATTGTTTCAGTCAGGGAGACTTGATAAACAAGCTTTTAAACTGTTAATGTAAAAAAAAGGAAGACACTAATAGAGGCAGCAGAAAAAGATCCCTGCAGTGGCTCCCAAAAGGGGGGCCTTTTAACCATGAAGGTCTAAAGCCAGGGCAAAAGTTCTTTTAGGTGGAAAAGAAATGTATAGTTTCCAATATTCTGTGCCAATTATTTTCAAATGTTGGATGTCACTTCGAGCTTCCAGTCAGGTTTGCACATTCCCCAAAACTCCTCACAGCCATGTTTTGCCTCAATACATAACCACAGGCTGCCCATTTTCAAGGGTTGTTTCCTGCCTTAGTTCAGTGCACCCAGGTTTGTGATATCCAATTGAGGTTAGCCAGTGTGCAAGTCAATGTATTAATTTTTCTTAAATTGCACACAGTCAGCCCTAGGACTCTCACTCTGAATCCACCAGTGCAAGATATTCAGGGCTTGGGTTTTGGAGATCTCTTTTCTGCTCCCTCCTCAGTGAGAGCATATGAACTGCAAATCGCCTGAGGGGGCCTGATTCTCTCCCCCTTGGAATTTGCAGTGCCACAGAGCTTTATTGAAGGTAGGTGTGATTCTGAATGATGTGTGCGTGTGCATGCAGTTACTTCAACAAAACAGGCAGTACAAGGATCCTGGACAAATTTTCCCTCCCACCAGTAGAGAAGTCCAAGGTGTTGAATACTTGCTGTGCCAACTATTCCCAAATGCCATCCCTCCATGAATCCATTTAACTGGCTGATTACATTTCAAATGAGGCAAGAAAGGAACCCTTACAGTGAGTTTCTGCCATCCCCCATAGTCTTCCTAGTTTTCTTCTGAGGCTTCACATGGGGACCAATGGCTCCAGGACTCCTTCCTTCCTCTACAGCTTTCACAGGCATCTGAGGGAATGGTAGGACTTGGAAAGATTTGTTCCACTCTGGTTGCATGGTGGCTTTCTAGTGGATGGCTGGATTCAAACCCCATTCTCTGGCTCAAATGGGTAGAGGCAGCATCTGGGGCAGTGTGCTCTTCTTCCAAAGGTTGTGGGGGTTGTCTGTACAAGGCTGAAAGACATGAGAAAAAGGTTCCCTCCCCCCTTTTTGGGTGGACTCTCCCAGGAGAGACAGACAAAGGCATGGAGAACAGAGGATAAGAAAAGGAGAAGTAGAATTGGGGGGGGGAGGTAGCTTGGAGATAGAGAGATGAGGACAAAAGAAAGGCTGGATTCTGGTAAGAGAACATAAACAAAAGGTCTCACTTGTGAAATTTAACATTTGCAACATGTTAGAGAGGACTTAAGGACTTGCAACTTGAAAATGCTGGGCAGCTTGAGAATGCTGAAAGCTCCAAATAATTTTAAAAGCCTAATATTTTAAGGTGTGCAATTTGCCAGGGGCAGGAGAATCTACCTTTAACATTTATTCTAAAATAGACCACATTATTTTAGAGATTAAAAAATGCTTATGTGTTCCAGGATTAGTTTCATAGTAGCTTCACTGATTAGTGATAGGGTAAGAAAAGTAATTTAGTAAGAAGAAGGTTATTTCCCTACACAGGCAAACTTGAGCTTCAGGAGGCTGTTGTAGCTAGACACACCTTATGTTTCAGGAAAAGGAAAGACAGATAAAACCCATTTACAACACATGCAGAAAATGCACAAATAAAACAAACAAACAAACTTTTCATTCTAAATGAGCTTAAAACATTCTATCCTAACAAAAGGGAACTCAATTATCTTCAGCCTGTTTTCTGGCCAGACAAACAGGCTGAAGGTATTTTCTTTTGGTGGCTTATTTTAAGCAGAATGTCTAGCAGAATTTTAAAATTCTTTTCTCTTTAGATTAGAGACAATTAACAGTCACATTTACCTCACACACAAAGACTTTGACACACACACACACACAAAGACAAGGAAAAGAACAGAAAAGGGAAACAAGTCTTAGTTTTACACATCCTGGTCATTCCCACCATAAATCTCAGTTAAATTAGGGAAGGCACAAATCTTAAACATATCACGTAGTTGCATAGAAAGAGAGAAAAAAATCACTATTCCTATATTTTAATTTCCTTTTAAGTACCTTTATTTAGCCAAATTGGTTTCCCACCAAAGCCCTGAGCAAAGCCCTTTTTTTTTTTTGCACAATTTCTCTACCCATCTCTTTTTCATACCTGCCTGAACGGGTAGCCGATTCCCGTCCCAGACCTCAAGCAAGTCTTTTATGGCGGAGTCTATCTCGACCCTCGAACTAGAACATCACATGATTCCCCTATTTCCGATGTAGGGGTTCACTTTGGCTTAGTTGGGTCCGGCGCACTTGAAGCCTCCTTGTGAGACTTCCGCCTACCACCACAGTTTTCCGGTCAAAAAGGGACCCGCGGAGGACTCTGGTATCCCTAACAGAGTACAGGTCACTCCTTCAGGGATTCTCTATCACAGTTTCAGACCAAAAAAGGGCCCGTGAGGACTCTTCTGCTCCCCGCAGAGTATGGGTCGCTCCTGTACTGGCTTTTCCTTCACAATCACAGTTTACGGACCTCTGCTTGCTTTTCAGAAGTATGGGTCGCTCCTAGCCTGGGGCTTAATTTTCCTAACTTGGGGCTTTGCTTACAGGACCTTACCAGCTGGTTGTCCAAATGTAATTCTCTCATTCACTCATTCCATTCATTTTCACACAGCCTCTCCCTTTTCCCTAACAAAAGGTCCTGCTTTCCAGGGTCTGTCACTTAAACAGATCCTTTCTGAGGTTAGGAAAAGCCAGAGGGAGCAAAATCCAACTGTGATTGGGAAAAGGGTCTTCTCACTCTCACACACAGACATACACATATTTCCTTTGTTCCCCTGGGCTTTAAAAGTTAAAATTTAGAGGTACTCACCTTCTTTCCAAAGCAGGCCTTGAGCTCAAACTCAAAATTCCCTTTACTATCCTTGCTCCACATGGGCAGGGCCTGGGAAAACCATCCACAGACACAAGAGGTCTGCTGCCGGCAAGATGGGGCTTGCCAGTCTCAGTCCATTGGAGAGGTTAGCTTGGAGTCCCATCCTAGGTGCCAAATTGTGGAAGATCTAAAGTCTTCATTAGGGTTCAGTCCAAGCCGGGAATAAACAACATGGCGACTGTTTTAGAAAGGAGGTTGTAGTTTATTGAAGAGGAGATCCAGACAGAAAGATGACTCTGGAAGAAAAGAGAGAGCACATGTAGTAGGGAGTGGGTTTTATACCCTCTTGGGCTTTTGTTTGGAGTTGTTTCCTTTTCCTGTTTCAGGCTTTGTATTTCCTGTGTCATGTACTTTGACCTGAGTCTGAGTGTGCCCCTTTGGCATCTGTGGATTAATCCTATTGTGTCCTGTCCTAGAGTTTGGATGGGGTATGTAGATTTTAGGTGTCTTTGTTTTCCTAAGCTTCTAGCTGGAGGGCTCCAACCTTCCTGAATGGATTATTACATCTGCATTTCTACAGAGCTGGTTTCTGCTTGGGGGAGGGAGACTTGGGCCTATTAAGAAAAACTGGGCATGCTTTTCTGCCTCTTTAAGATCTTTTGAGGAAATATAATATTCTGCCCTTTTAATATTTCCTTCTCGGGGGGGGGGGGGCTGACTTCCCACAGCACTGTAAAGTATTTTTTTAAAACAAAATGGAAGAGATAATCTCCTGAGTAGACTCTAATGCAGGGGTCCCCAATCTGTGGGCCGCTAACGCTCCGCACATGCGCAAACAGGACTGCTAGCATCCGCCACTAGTGCAAGTGGGGAGGGTGCATGCACACATGTGCCCACTCACCAACCATTCCCGGTGGCCAACAGGCTGCGGGAATGGCTGGCAAGTGCACACATGTATACACGCACCCTGCTCACTCGCACTAGTGCCGCCACACGAATGCTAGTGGTCCTGTTTGCATATGCGCAGAGTGCTAGCACCACTGCCAGTGTCACACGAGCCTTAGCAGCCTGTTTGCACATGCACATGGGCGTTAGTGCCGCCACCACTGTCATGGGTGTGCGTGTGCATGTGTGCGGGCACTAGTGCCACCACTGTGCATGCATCCATTTTGCACATGCACACGCGTACATTTCCGTGCTTTTCCCTTTCCCTCCAGGCCAGCAACCCGGAAAGGTTGGGGAGCTCTGCTCTAATGGCTGAGTCAAATTCATGCAGTGAGTTTGTCTGGCTTATGGCAATAAGAACCTGTCCTCCACCCCCTTCTCCATGCCAATCCTACAACTTAACCAATATACCACACAGAATCAGAATAATCATTGAGAATGCAGAAGTTCTTTCATTCTGTGTTTTCAAGTTGAATTTTATAACAATAACAAGGACTAGAAGATCAATATTATTTCTTTTGTATATCAAGTTTGTATTACAGGTAGTCCTCAAGTTACGAATATAATGGAGCATGCCAATTACATTCGTAACCCGAGGATTTGTAGGAGTGAATCGCGTAACTTGACCACAAACACCCCCTCCTTTCGCCACACATTCTCTAATCAAATGCACGGATCGTTAAGTGCACACGAGGTATCTCATGGGTGGGACTAGTGATGGAAAAGACCACCTCCTTCAGACCACCCGAGGCCTCCCCCACCCCACTGAGATACCTCATTCTCTCTCCCCCAGAGTCCCCACAATTGCTTCAAGCCTCCCGTTGGCGTGCAAACACTTTTTGCGCAGAGACTGGAAGCTTCTGGGTGTCCTAATCTCTCCGGACTTCAGGTACCCATTCTCTGCAAAAGCAGATGGGTGTCTGAAATCGCACAAGATGATGGCCCCCAGGAGCTTTCGGCCTCTGGCCGAAATGTGTTTATGCGCCTATGGAACACCGCTTTAAAGAGCCCCATAGGGCTTGAGGAGGCCTTTGCCGACAAGAATGGAGGTCCAAAGGGATACATACTCCCCTCTGGGGCTCCTTTTTCATCTGCATAATGCTTGAGGAGGCCTTTGCCGATGAGAATGGAGGCCCGGATGGACACGTGCGCCCCTCCAGGGCTCTTTTCTCGACCTTTGCCGACGAAAACAGCCCCAGAGGGGAGCGCGCATCCCTCCTGGCCTCCATCCTCGGCAGCAAAGGCTTTTTGCAAAGGTGGCAAAAGACTTTGCAAACGGAGGGAAGGCTTCAATGTTTTAGGCCTTCCTTCCATTTGCAAAGCCTTCTGCCGCAGATCTCATCGAGGCCTCCAGTTGCAGAGAACAGAGGGCTAAAGTTCTGTGAGATCAGTTGAGATCAGTAGCGCGAAATCTTGCACCACTGATCTTGTGTGATCTTTTGGTACTTTAGGCCTCCATTTTCTGCAAATGCACCAAAGGCCTGAAGCATCGAACAGGCCAAGAAATGGAAAGCTCCCTGGATCTTCGCAAGGTGAGTATCCACAGGGCTAGTGCCTGTATAAACCCGGTGGGGGGGAGAATAGGCAGGGCGAATGTTGCAGAGCCTCTGCAGTAGTTCATAACTGTGAACAACTGCTGTGGTGCTGCAACATTCATAATTTCGGGACTATATTGTAATTACTTGGGGGGAGTTAGGTTGTAACTTGGAATGGTCGCTAAATGAATTGTTGTAATTTGGGGATTACCTGCACTCTGCTTTTTCCCAGGTTACTGAAGATGCAGAAAAACAGCTATCACACCAGCAGAATGCTGGTGCCTCAAAAGGAAACTTGATTCTCAAAGTTCCCAAGGTAATACCCCATGGTGTGACTTTTCTGGATCTACTGTATTATTTTCCTCTCCAGGGTTTCTTCCAAATAGTTTACCACTGATAATCTGTTCAGTGGAAAAAAATGCACTTTAAGTGAACTTGCACCTTTCCAGATAAGTTTTGTTTATGTATTGTATTGTATATCATATATATTATATTATATTATATTATATTATATTATATTATATTATATTATATTATATTATATTATATTATATTATATTATATTATATTATATTATATTATATTATTATATTATATTATATTATATTATATTATATTATATTATATTATATTATATTATAATATTATATTATATTATATTATATTATATTATATTATATTATATTATATTATATTATATTATATTTATTATATTATATTTATTATATTATATTATATTATATTATATTATGCTCACACACATATATATGTACATACATGCACACACACACACATTCTGCTTTTTCAATTTTATCCTCTTCCGAACAAGTTCATGTTCAAACCTCTTTGTCTTGTCTTGAACTCCTAGGGCACCAGGGATTTTAGCCCAAAGCAAATGGCTATCCGTGAAAAAATCTTTAGCACCATAATTAATTGTTTCAAGCGTCATGGAGCCGTGACAATAGACACTCCTGTGTTTGAGCTAAAGGTGAGAATAAGTCAGTAATAATTTTGCTGTTGCTGATAAGGTTTTTGTAGCCTATTTGGAATAATCCAACTTTCTTAATTAATTAAACTGTATGCGTCATTGAACATGGTGATGGGTTAGGAGAAAGGAAGGATGGTTTTGTTTTGTTTTTATTATTGAATTCATTGATTATGCTGCTACTTTGTTTCAAATAATGAAGTTTAGAAGTGGGGATTAGGATAGTTTCTTAAATGGAAATGTATTTATTCTGTAGCGTCCTTATACAGGTAGGCCTTGAGTTATGACTGTAATGGAGCCTGCCCATTATGGTCATAAGTTGTGACAGTTGTAAAGCAGGCCAATCACATAACCGACCCAATTTTATGATCCTTTGTTGCAGTGGTCCTTAATCGAACACAACAGTTAATAAGCAAACCAGTGATTTGATATGAGGCTAGTTTTGCTAAAAACTGGTAGTAAACGCCAAACACTGAAAATGGCCATAAATGTGACCTGATTGCAAAGCACCTGAAGTGCAGTTACTGTGTGGGGGGCAACTGTTGGAACTTTGAATGTGGGCCATAAATACTCCCCAGAGGTCAACAGCCTATAATGTGAAATTCTACAGTATCCCTCATTTTCACCAAAATATTTTTTTAAGCTGTTTATTTTACAAGCACAATCATAATGTTAGGAGTACATGGAAATCGTCAGCTTGATTAGGATAATGCTAGGAGATATTTCCAGAATACCCTAAAACGGATTTATTCTTTACAAATTTACAACATTAGGTGTTAAAGAACTAAAAAAGATGAATGTAAGCCAAATAAATCTTATTCCTAATGATAAAGTCATAATAAAATGTTTAATATCAATTCATGATTTTATAAAACATTCTTACAATGAGGATACAGTAATACTGTGTTTTTTCAATAAAAATAGTAAATATAGCCATTTATTTCAAACAGATCACTGTGCAATAACATCTCTTCTACAACGGAAATTGTCATATATGAAAATATATTGTAATATGATACATTATAGTAGTATATCTTGAATGTAGTAATTTAGTGCTTAAATCTTGAATTATAAATTATCCAAGTAAAAATTGTTTTATACAATTATTTCGTCAGGAAGTATTTTTGTAAGTATATTCTGTCCTTTTTCATAGCTGGGTTATTTGTATCAACCTTATTTATCCTCAACCTATGTTATACAAGTAGTCCACAACAGTTCATTTAGTGACCGTTCAAAGTTACAACAGCACCAAAAAAAGTTACTTATGACCATTTTTCACATTTATGACCATTGCAGCATCCCCACGGTCATGTGATTTACATTTGGATGCTAGACAACTAACTCAAATTTATGACAGTTGCTGTGTCGCGGAGTCATGTGATCCTCTTGGCGACCTTCTGACAAGCAAAGTCAATGGGGAAAACAGATTCACTTAACTACCATGTTACTAATTAAGAACTGCAGTGATTCATTTAACAAATGTGAGGAAAGTCATAAAATCGGGCAAAACTCACTTAACAAATTTCTTACTTAGCAACATAAATTTTGGGCTCAGTTGACTATCTGCAGACTGTTTAAATTTGACTTATTTGGTACTTCCCAAAATGTGTATTTGTTTCATGAAAAACATAGTGTCCACTTTTCTCTGTTCAGTATGTGGCAGAACATTCCGTGCTAACATCGGTCTTATCAGCCATCTACGGACACACCGTTGATGGCCCATAATCCATAAGATGTCAAGGTCTTCATCGAAATTGATGGACGAACAACATTTGTTTCATATTCTTCCTTGCTGGTCTTTGGTACTTTGTTTGAAGAGAGAATGCTTTTAATCTTGTTTAACGACTGTTCAAAGTTACAGTGGCCTCAGAAAGGATGCTTTACGGCCTGTACATTTGTAACTGGAAGCCAAGCATCCCACAATCATGTGATCACTATTTGCAATCATTTCTGTTGACTTCCCTAGAAAGTTTGCAAGAAAGGTTGCGTTCAGAGGGGAGCTAAAATCCTTTGTGGGGGAATGCAGGAAAGGAGCAGAAATCTTCAGGATTTCAGTTCCATTCCTACAGCCTACTGAAGGATTTCCCCTCCCCTCCTTGCATCAGGGCTACAGAAGAGGAGTTGAAATCCTCCAGCAGGCTACAGGAACATTTGTGAGCCAAAGGTCTACCTCTTTTGCTCCATTTGCTTAACAACCCAGGAGATCACTTAGCAACTACCACCAGGAGTGTGTAGATTGCAGTCATTAAGCGAACCAGTCACATGGGCATTTTGTTTAATGACCGCTTTGCTCAACAACTGAGATTCTGTCTTGGGAGTTAATGCCCACCAGGTGCCTGATCCAGATCATTGAGGGCCTAACACCCACTAAAGGTCACATGTTAGGCCTGACTTTTGTCTCAGCAAAGTGGCAATGTGAGTTGGTTAGGATCATGTCAATATCTGTCCCTTGTCATGACCAACTTGTCCTTCGCTCTGAAGTTCTCTAGTACTGTCCATTGCAGGGAGTCTGAGCCTACTTATTTAATATGGGTGCTTCATCACTGAAGGTTTTTAAGAAGAGACTGGACAGCCATTTGTCTGAAATGGTATAGGGTCTCCTGCCTGAGCAGGGGGTTGGACTAGAAGACCTCCAAGCTCCCTTCCAGCTTGATAATCCACCACAGACTCCTGATAGATTCTGCTGGGTTTCAGAGGGAACTTGAAGAAATTTCTTTGGGGTGCAGTTTGGCTGAAGCCTTAATCATCTCTTAGGAATGAGAGGATGATACTAGCTTTATATTGGATTATGCACATGGCCCTCCCTGTTTTGAATCTTGAGGTAGTCCCTGCTTTTCACAAAAACTAGGGAAAATGAAGCAACAAAAGAGATGCCTGGAGCACTGGAGGAAAATTAGGAGTGAGTCCATCTGGACATGGATAAGAGCTTATAGTAAGGATTATACTATGGCAATAAGAACAACAAAATGTAATTATTTTTCTGCTCTTATTGTGTCGGCCAGCAGCCTTAGGTGGGATGACCTGGGCTGGGACAAAAGGATTACAGGAACATTATAAAAACTGATGTGAGGATTATTCTAGACATCTGACAGATAAAATCTGATTTTACCTAGAATTTGCTGTGATTTGGATTCTGGCTGTGCAAGTCCTGTTGAGGTGATTGTGACATAGTTTAGGTTAATTTGGAGGGGGAGTTTGTGTCTGTAACTTTAAGGACATCTTTAAGGCAGAATCCTCAGAGCTGTGAGTGTATTACAGCAAAGTGTCTCCTGGTTGATAAAGGCCTCCCAGGAGATGGAAGGTGTTTGGGCCAAAGTGGTGATAAATTCATTCCTCAGTGTGGAGGTAGTTCTGCCTGCCCTGAAGGAAGCAGTGGTCCATCCTTCTGAAGAAACAATAGCTGGACAACTTTCATCTGATCTCCAACTTCCTATTTTTGGTCAGGCTGCATATTCAGATGATCTTGTTGAAAATGGATTATCTGGTCTCATTCCAGTTGGGTTTCAGACCTTGTATAGTAATGAGATGACACTGATTGCACTTGTTGATGACATATGGTAGGTGGGGATGAGGGCAGTTCATCCCACCTGGCCCTTCTTGACTTCTCAGCAGCACTCACTATCATCAGTGGTATCCTTCTAGATCAGCTTGTGGAGATGGGAGGTACATTTGTTATAGTGGTATTCTTCCTTTATTCAGGACTGCTTCCAGTCACTGTTGGGGGAAGCGGAGATCTAGTACTATCAATATGCTGATATTTGGCTGTATTTCAGCTCCTGGTCACTCAACTGATGCCATTAAAGTTCTGACTCTGTTTCTCAAAATACGGTAATCTGGATGGGAAAGAATAGACTCTGGCTTAACTTGGGCAAGACCAAGTAACTGTGCTTTGATCCCAGAGATTTTCCATCACTATTTCTGGATGGGGCTTCTTCTGAACTTCTCCTGGATTTAAACCTCCAGCTCAAGGAGCAGGTGATAACCATGGTTTTGAGGACCTTAGCGCAAATCTATCTCAGTAGAGATCCATCTGTTTTGCCAGTTCCTGAATTGGCTCTGGTCACAGTTGCTCATGTATTAATGATGTCTAACTTGGATGAGTGAAGTATTTTGTACATGGGTCTGTCCCTAAAAGACCACTCAAGCTACAGCTTATTCAGAATTCAACAGTATAGGTATGGATTTACCTCAGTATGCTATGTAATACCAATAGTTTGCATGCTGCACTGATTCCTGGTTGGCTTCTGGATGCAATTTAAGGCATACTTCATAGCAAAGCATAAGGGTATTTGCGGAAACCCCTTGACTTAATTATCTGTGCTGGTTCAAAAAGATTAAACCGGGTTGGCATGGTCCTTGCCATCTTGCTGGACCCCGAAGCATGTCTTCTCTTAACTGCATCTGTCCTGTAGAACAGCTTGACCTCCAAGTTCCAGATGGCTCCAACCCTTCTGGCTTGTGAGCACTGAGCCAAGATATTGTATGAGCTATCAGTGTATGTATGTCTCTGTGTGCTTTGCAAATTACTGTGATTGGTAGTATAGATGTTATGCATATTTCTACTGACTTATTTAGAATTTTATTAAGTTTGGGAGGGGGGGATGTTTAAGGTTGTTACCTGCTCGGAGTTACTAGCAGATGCTTCCGTGATAAATTCCTTCATAGTTAGTATGGTGAGAAAATACTTCAGATGGCATCTCCTTTTTTACCTGCCATCTATTGTTTCTCCTACTCTTGGGGGGTGGGGGGATTATTCCTTATTATTGTTTTTTATATTGTGTTTTTATTTTTGTAAGCCACCCAGAATCTCTTCAGAGTGAGTTGGGCAATCATATACATTTTCTTAAATAAATACTGTTGGAAAATAGAACATCGGATTTACTGTGAGGTTCTTCTATAGTGGTTAAATAATTTTTACTCCCGCTCTGATAAGAACAATTTTATTATAGTCAATTATTTTGTGTCTTCTAGATTCTAATTAGAATGAGATATCTTTTCCCCCTTTTGTTTGTTTCTATAAATTATTTTCCTGTTTTTCAATACTCCTCTTGAATAGGATAATACAGTGTTACTATCAAGCTTAGGTACTGTAGGAAAGCTCTGTCCCCTCATGAAGAGTTGACAAAATCCTTTGGGGTTTTTTTCTTCTAGATTGACTAAGGAATTATCTGTCCTATGACACTCTGAGTCTACTATAGGATTGTAATAATCTCCATTTCTATTATTGAAAGATGTATCTCACTTTCCTTTTGAACTACTTGTAGTTCATAGTTCTTGGTCATATGGCCTAACCATTAGGTAAAGAAATAATATGTTCAAGATGTTTCCAATGCAGTAGGATTCTTACCTATCCTAGTAGCTTAGCAATGAAAAGGTACCTTGCTGTACTCTAAGAAAAGGTGAGAGTTTCAAAAGTACTGGGCAAAACATTCATAGTAGATTATAGCAAGTAATGTGTCAGTATATTTCAGAACAAATCTTATAAGAACGTTTTAGCAGGAAAATAGGTGCTCCTATGTGGGAATCGGAATTTAAAGTATGACAGAATGGAGGGGGAGAGCAGGATTGTTAGTATACACCTATGAAAACAGCAATGTGTGCAGTCAGAGAGGCAGAGACAGTCCTAAAGAGACAGAATGAGACAGACAAAATATATTGGTACAAATGGTAAGGAACCTGGTTATGATCAAACCCACAGAGGTGGATGGACAGAAAGACTCAAACACTGACTATGGTTTTCCCATTTCCAGTAATCTGGAAGTTTTAGAATGGACAAAAAGACATAAAATGGAGCCAAATTAAGTAAGAATTTGAAATACAAATGAATATGTAATTGTTAAAATGTACACATTTTTGAAATTTAAAATGGAGAATAGGATAAAGAATGTATGATAAAGTTCTGACTCTGTTTCTCAACTTTTGGTTATAATATACAGATGGATCAGTGGGAAAATATGAAGTTAAAAGGGTTGGAATTTAAACTGTATTATGAACTCAAAGAGGATTTTTTAGAAAATGGTTTATCATTGGGACATGATGCTAGAAAAATTATATATATAAATTATATATCTTTGTGTCTATATGTATAAAGACACTTCAAATGTTGAAGGGATATTTCATCATGCTTGGCAGAGATGTAAAGGAGCTGAAAATTCTGGATCCAAATGCATACTTTGATACAGAGGATCTTAAAGGTTAATATTTATTTCAAGCCAGAACTTTTTCTTTTAGATTAATGTATAAACAAATAGAAAAAACCCAGGGAAGATTATTTAAATGTGCAGTCACAACAGTGAGTTTACTGTATGCATAAAGGTAGAAAGATTCAACATTACCCACTATAGAGGAATGGCTGGTAAACTTAACAGATTTTCCTGAAATGGATAAATTAATTTATTTGATTAGAGAAAAGAAATCTACATTTGATTAGAGAAAAGAAATCTACAACTGGAAGTCTCTAATGGACTTTTTCTGTAAAAATGAATAAATAAACTTGTGACTTACAGTTTTGATGATTAGACGGGATAGAGTAATGTAAAATAATACAACTGTAGAGAGGGAGGTTAAAATATATTTGTATTTATAACTGCTGTGAAGAATATTGGAAGCTTCATACTTTTTTCCTTTTCTGTTTCTCCTTTTTTCTTTTACTTGCACCTTTTTTCTTTGATATTTCTTTTTTCTTTCAGTTAGTTTGTGTTAGCTTTTATCTTCTTGCTTAAAACTTTTAATAAAATGATATATGAGATTGAAACATAGAGTTACAAATGACAAAATATATTATGTGTTTCCTTCTTTTCTTTTCCTTCATTTAAGGAACTCTTGCTAGAAAACTACGGTGAAGAGACAAAGTTGATTTATGATCTGGAAGATCAAGGAGGAGAGATGCTGTCTCTTCGATATGACTTAACTGTATCCTAACAAAAATTCTAACTTGCAAAAACCACTTTTTAAAAGATAGAATGTCTCGGGCAGAATTGTGGAATAATAGATTGCTGCATGACCCATAATGGTAATTGAAGACTGGTCAAAAATTGCAAGGGATTCAGAAGAAGCTTCCTCTTTCTAGTTGATTTGTTTAAGACAGACATGTCAAACTGCGGGCCTGTGGGCTGGATGCGTCACGCCGAAACCGTGCCCACCCCATTGCCGGCAATGGGGAAAAAGTCCCGATACGTCGCACGAAGTCACGTGACATCGCAAGTTTGACATGCCTGGTTTTAAGGTGAGCATATCAGATCAGAGCTCTTATTTACATGCTAGCCAGTATGGTTTCATTCACAATTTAATGTGTTAGGGTGAAACTCTGTAATATAAATATCATGAGCCAGTGCAATGTGTCATCTTCTGTAAAAATCTTTGAAACTGTTGAAAAGATATAGAGAACTTTTTCTACATACTAACATACAGTTAGTTCTCAAGTGAGCCAATCGATGCCTCATGACTGATTTTTTGGATATTTTTTGCAACGGTCATTAAATGAACACTGCAGCCATTAAGTGAATGTGGTCGTTAAGTGAATCAGTTTTTTCCAATGGGTGTTTTTTGCCAGAAACCAGAAGTAAACACTGGAGCCTGGCAAAAAAATATTACAAATTGTGGTCACCTCAGGGCATTACAAATGGTTGTAGCATTGTAGGTTGTCCTACAATAGAAACGATAGCCCATCAATAGAAGAAGCTCCCAAATCTTTGTATATGACCCATGGAATGCATCTTACCACCCAAATTGACAAAATACTAAAGTATAACAAAAGTGGATGATGACAAATTGTTTTTAAAAATACATGCTAGAAGAATAATGAAGGTACTTAAATACCATTATCAAAACAATATGATTTCAAAATTAACAGTGTAAAAAAAAGGAGGGGCTAGAACATTTTATTATAAAACAATGTTAATGTATTACTTGAACTTATTCTTTATTAAGAGTTAAGTCTTTTTTTAAAAAAAATACATCCCCTTATTCATATGTTGACAATACGTTTCAGCAATCTATTGTAGTAAGTCTTGTATAGATTTCTTCTTCCAATATGATACAATACTTTTATACCATGTCTCCAGATACCATAATTCTGGAAGTCTTCATAGAATCACAATACACACCTATTTTACATTTTAATTTGTCACTCAAAAAGACTGGGAATGTAGCCTTAGTGATGTCACTGGATGTATTTCTAGCCATCTTGAAAACTAGGTGTGAGGTTTTTTGGTTAAAAAGCAAAATATTTCTCAGGTGGAAAAAGATTGCCCATTGTTTGCTTACTTTCTGTGCTATAGGCAAGTTTTCTTAACTATGTTTCTAGGTGCCATTTGCTCGTTACTTAGCTATGAACAAAATTAAACGGTGTAAACGTTACCACATTGCAAAAGTCTACAGGCGTGATAACCCATCCATAAAGAGAGGACGCTTCAGGGAGTTTATCCAGTGTGTGAGTATCTGCAGATTTTTCCACTTTGGGAAGGCAAAACAGAAAGGCAGAGGAGCTATCTTTTTTCTTTGACCTTTAAATTGAACTTGCCAAAGGAGCAGAGCATTTCATGTCTGAAATATGGAAGTGAATGAGTTCTTTGTGAAATGGGACACATATGTTGCTTCACACTTCAGGAAAATAGGATTTAATCATTGAGTACTTCAGTCGTTCAATTAGTCTACCAAATTTATTTGGAGATTTTTAATAGCTAGTTTCTGTATTCCAGGATTTTGACATTGCTGGCCAATACGATCCTATGATTCCTGATGCAGAGTGTTTGAAAGTCATGCATGAGATCTTAACTGCCCTGCAAGTTGGAGATTTCATTATCAAAGTAAGAAAAACTGGCTGTTTCTTAGTCTAAATGGACTTCTGTTAAGAACTCTTACCTATTAAAAAATCCACAATGTATACATTTATTTTTTTAATCTCTTTTTTATTTCTGCTGTTTCCCCTAGATCAACGACAGGCGCATTTTGCAAGGGATCTTTACAGTATGTGGTATTCCAGAAATCAAATTTGAAAGGATTTGCTCAACTCTTGACAAACTGGATAAGTTAAGTATCTTCAGTGTGATCTTGGTGGGCTTGTAGGAGAGGCAATAAAGTGAATTGGTACAAGTAGAAGAGGGGAAGAGTATAATAATCTGTATATTTGATCATATATTCAAAAGGTAGCAGGATATGCATGCATGAGGGAACATGGAAGAGATAGGATATGTATATGGAAATGGGAGGGCACATGAGGAATAGAATGATAACAGAATACGTGATGGAAGTGTGCATATAGCATGTTTGTGTGAGAGAATTTATAGTGCATGTGGAAGGAGGGTATGGAATGCAGCCATTGAGGTACTTGAAATGTGGTTTTGTGAATTAGCACTGCTAGATTATGAAGCTGTATGCCTGGATAGATAGGATTTGTTTGGATTCAGGCACATGCAAGCCTCAGTATGGCCCTCAGCTCTAAAAATGTTACCCCTAGGATATGCATGAAATAAAAAGAATAATGATTTCACTTGGATCCTGTTAAATTGCTATTCTCTATGTCTGTATGTCATCCATATTGAAAAAAGTCAGTTTAAGTTATCTACTTTTTGAGGAAAGAAATGCATTAGCCAAAAGATGAATTACTTTAACTAGATAATGCATAGTTAACTCCTCCATTTCCTCCACAGGTCACATGGGAGGAAGTAAAAAAAGAAATGATCATAGAGGATGGTATTTCTCCTAAGTGTGTCGATCGTATTAGTGAATATGTTCAACTTCATGGTGAGTTTCAGTACAGGCATTCTATAATGTGTTAGTAATTAATCTTTAGATGGAGTAAGATTGACTATGATCCTGCAGATTTTTTGTGCAAAGTGCTCTCTTCTTTATGTTTTGTGTTCCAGACATTAGGTTCAACTGAAGTTGAAATAATGTTGAGTTAGTATTGTAATTGTAAGATTTACCGAAAGTGATAGAAAATAATGTAAGTATATCTTCCATCTTTAAATGCATCTGTTTTTCTGCAGGGGGACCATGTCTCGTTGAGAAGCTTCTCAAGGATCCAAAACTGGTACAGAACAGATTGGCTATGGAAGGACTAGAGGACATGAAATTGCTATTTGAATACCTTACTCTATTTGGCATCACAGATCAGGTGAATTGGAATGTGGTTGTTATGGTTCCGATAGATGAGACCAGTAGAAATAAGAACTCTGAGGCAATTGCTTTCCTTAAAGAACACTTTTAATGGTTACATGATATCAGCACGAACAAAGGTGAAACCAAGACTGAAAGTTATCCCCCCCCAAAAAGTTACAAAGTAAAAGTTGAACTCCCCACCCCTTAGTGTGTCATAAATCACAATCCCCAATTACCTTTGGCGGGCTTCCTAACGGTAGCCCCAGCCCGCCAAACATTTAAACTGCTTGACCTTGGTTCCCACAAGAAAGTTATTGTTTTGACTAAACTAAAAGAATGCATCTCCCCTCTCCCATTGCTGTGGCAACCGAAAAGCGAAGAAACATGGCTGAATTCAGAGCATTTGAAGTTTTGACAGTAGTATTAAGTAAATATAAGTGATCTGTGGCAGTCCAATATTTTCCTATTAATAGCCCTCTTGTCCTGTTTCACAGGTCTCCTTACATCTGAGTCTGGCTCGTGGTCTGGCTTATTACACTGGAGTCATCTATGAGGCTGTTTTATTGTGCCAAAAGCATAGCCACCTAAACGAGTCTCTTAGCTTAAGTAGTGTGGCTGCAGGTGGACGGTATGATGAGCTTGTAGCAAAGTTTGATTCAAAAGGATATAAGGTACCTTGTGTTGGACTCAGCATCGGTGTTGAAAGGATCTTCTCTATCATAGAGCAAAATAATGAGGTAAGGTCTATTAAGCAGTTAGAAAATGTTAAATAAATGAGGGTTCAGGGTTGTGCATAGAGATCAAAATACAAATGTAGAAGTGTGGAAGTGAAAGACATTTGCAGGATAGGAAATAATGAGAGATGCAAGGACTGTCCAAACTGTAGTTGGTGGGTGGGGATGGGATGAGGGATAGCACAGCCCCAACTCTTAAGCATTGAAGCCTCTCCATTAGTATTTTAAAATATTCCTCAGAGTTTGGCCCGCCAGTTGGTCTTCCTGTTCTTTGCTTTGAAAAAATGGTTGGGACCTGGCTATAGCAGATAACAAAGCGTCTTTGGTCAAGGACCAGCCACATGTAATCAGGCCTTTTCCCCTCTTCCTGGCAGCAAACCAACTCTGTAGAATTTTTCTAGAAAAAAACTACACAAAGACTCAGTTGGAAAGATTACATCCTATTGGTACCACAAGACTAGAGTCAATTTGAAATAGAACAAGTCTTATTTCATTCTGGCTGGGAATTCTGGGAATTGAAATTCACATTTTTTAAAGTTGCTAAAGTTGAGAAAAACTTTATTTGGTTGTTTTTTTTTCTTAGCAACTACTAGCTCAGACCACCTGTTCGGTATTTTTATAATCTATAAGAGATCTTTACCAATACACTTTGAATCAGACCTGCCCTCTCTTGCTTGTTCTCATTCTCTGTGATCAATCCCCCATATTACAGGCAGTCTGTAACTGAAAGCGAGATCTCTGTCCCTAAGTAATACAGTCATAAAGTGCACCATCACATGAACATGCTGACTTACAAGGGCAGTTCTGGCAGTCATTGTTAGGTGAATCCTGAGCAACTGCAGTTTTCCATAGTCACATGGTCACAATTTGCGACCTCTGCTGGCTTCCTTATTTATTTTCTTGTCAGAAGGCAGCAGTGAAAGTAGCAAGTAGTGATCACATGATTGCAGAAAGCTGTAATGTAATGTAGGCCCTAACTGCGAGCATGTGGCAGCAGGGACAATGCAACAGCCACAACTATGAGTTCCTGTTTTAAGTACCTCTTGTTTAGTGCTGTTGTAACTTTGAATGGTCACTAAATGAGTAGACATTAAACAAGGATTACCCATGGCCAATCAATGGCTGAGTGCTAAGAGAAGCCCTAGAAAAATAAAAATGAACACAAAGAGATTAAGACTGATCATCCATGGGACTACGTGTTGTTCCAACTCTGCTGCCACATTAAAGAGGTTTGTGTAATTTCATTTTCTTGATTGTGTGTTCTTTAGATGCCTTGATTCCTTAAGTATTTTAATAAGACTTGCACAGTTATGGAATTCCTTGAAAGAAATTAGATTTTTGTAAGCAATCATAGCTCAAAAATTTCATTACTGAATCACCTGTTAAAATAAGAAAAAGAATAAGCTGGCTTAGAGCACATCCCCATTTTTCTAATCTAGTTAGCTAAAAAGAAGTCTTATTCTGACATTATAGACATTTACATTGCATCCAGATTAATTTACAAGCTGTTTGGGTTTAAATTTTGCAATTAAAAAGGAGCAATAATTCTCAATATGAAAGATCCATTAGGGAAGCAGGATGATATCATAGTACTGGGCAGAGAAGCAGTAGGTGATATAGAGACTGGCTAGGCAATTGGGCATTAGGCAGAGTAAATGAGAACAAAACAAGAAAGGGGGATATACCAAAAAATAGGATGAGATAGATCATCATTCATTTAAAGAACAACTTTATTTTTTTAAAAAAAATTAAAAAACATTATTCTGGCAAATATTTTTAAAAGCATCTTCCTTTATTAACCAGGATGCAATTCATCTGCCCCTCTAAATAATTCAGAGTAAATGAATTAATGTCAGCCCCACTAGGTCTCCAAACTATGGCCCCTGAGCTACGCCTAGCCCTCCGGAAGGTTTCTTCCGGCCCACCAGCTCCCACGTGTTGTGCTCTGATCCTTTCTAAACAGCACAGGGAAGGAAAGCACCACTGTTGGAAAGGAAAGTAGGACTCCGATGTGGAGGGGGGGGGTGCAAGTCAGCTGGAGGGTTGCTGGACAAGGAAGGGAAAACATCTTTTGTTTTAAAATTTGCCCCAGCTTTCAACCAGCTGGAGAGTTGCTTCCTTTCCGGTGTATGTGTGTGTGTGTGTGTGTGTGGATTTAAGGGACTCCCTTGGATCATTCCCCTGCCTGCGCACAAAGAAAGCCCCATTCAAATTGGCTCAGGGCAGCCAGACAAGGAAGAGAAAGCCGTCTGGGGGTCTATGACTACTCACAGTGGCCAGGTGGGCGCGGCTGAGTAGTCACAGCCAAGTTGCCGCGACTGGGTGGGTATGGCCAGCTCAGTGCGGCCAGCTCAACACCACTCACTCCACTCGGCACAGCTGACTTGGTACAGGCAGGTGGACGTGGCTGGATAGGGCGTGGCCGGGTAGGTGCAATCAGCTCAGCTCCACTGACTCGGGATGGCTGGGTCAGCACGGAACAAGTTGCACCGACTAACTCGGCATGGGGACAACTTGGTGCTCCACAAGCTCCTCACCTCCCCAAACTCCCAGCAGCCAAGCAGGTGCGCGCACACACACCGCATTCCAAGTTGGGAACTTGTATCTACAGAGGATGGAGAGGTCTTTCTCCACAAGCCCAGACATGATTGGCAGCTTGCCAGCTCAGATGTGGATAAAAGTCTCCAAGCTTGGCATGGGGAGTGTGTGCGTGCGCGCTTGGCTGCCAGCAGTTTGGGGAGACCGGGAGGGGCACTGAGTTGTCCCCACGTCGAGTTAGCCGATGCAACATGTTCAATGCTGACCCAGCCACGCCCACCTAGTCACGGCAACCCAGCTGCTACCACCCAGCCACGCCCACCCAGTCACACTCACCTGGTTGCTGAGAGTTGTCCCATTCCAGTTGGCTGGAGGGTTGCTTCTTTTGCTTACAAAGGGGGAAAGAATGATCCCAGCATAGCTTTTCTGTTTTTGTTTTATGTGTAGATTCTCATTTAATGTAAATTTGTAAACTTTTTAAGTAAATAACATTGAAAAAAAGAATAGCCTTTTCTCAACTGCAGTTATTAATTTATTATTTCTTCAGAGTGTTTGAGTGCTAATGTTTGAGGTTTTTCTTATATCATTTGTTTGTATAATAACAGCATTGTTTCTGTAGTTAACACATTTCTTTTTTTGCTGTTGCTGTTGCATTGAGCAAAATAAAATTAATTCAATTATTTTTTTATAAAATGTATAAAATCAATAAAATTGATTTTTTTTCCTGTGGCTCCTCAAATATTTGCAAAATGTCCAATGTGGCAAGTTTGGAGAACACTGAGGTAGACCATACCAAAATCAGTTTCACAGAAGACTAGATCTAATTATACTTTATTGGGGTAGGCTATAATAACAGACTCTTGTGAGTTTGTGCTTTAGTTTCCTTCTACCTTATACTTGATGAGTATAAGGGAGGTGTTTCCTTGAGTCGCTTGCAAAAATTATCTTGCTTCCCAGGACTTAAAGAACATTTCAGCCCTTCTTGCCTGGATATTGAATCTTTCATATTTCTGTCAAAGTCATCTTTAGCTTTAATTCTCCATTGTTCCACACAGGAAAGATAAATTCTCCATCCATCAATAAAAGAATCAACTACTTGATATAAGAGAAATAAGGCAATGTTTCTATAAACAAGCTATTTATAATAGTTAACAGGGAGAATAATAGAAACCAGCAAGACAAAACTGGTTTAGAAACAGTAGGAGAAATGGTTGCATGAAAATAATGCATATTTACTGAGATATAAGTAGGATTATGGTGCAAGATGCAGTACATATAGCTAACCATATCCATATTTTGGAAATAAGTGAAAATGTCTGAAATTTAGAATATTTCCAACAGTAATTACGTCCAATTTGTTTGCAAATTTTAGTTAGTTCTGGTTATAATACTGATTTTTTTTCTTTTTCCTTTGAGATGACCAAGGAGAAGATCCGCACGACAGAGACACAAGTATTGGTGGCAACTCCCCAGAAAAATTTCCTTGCATTCAGAATGAAGTTCATATCTGAATTATGGAATGCTGGCATCAAGGTAATACTAAAGAGTTTTTACACCAGTGTAATATATTTCTGTGAAAAATTATTCACTCCTTTTCAGATTTTTTGAATGCTTGCATATCTTTGCCAGTGAATGTACATGGCGTAGGTTACTTGAGAGATTTCCTGTGTCCCATAGTATCTGCTCAGCTCAATTTAGCAGGATTGGTGCACTTCAGGTTCCATTGATTAATCAATGCCATATTTTGGGACCCTGGAAGCAGATTTGTTTTTTCTGCCATTGCTGTTGTTCTATCCTGAGACAGTCAGGATTAAACTGCTGACAGTCGGCAGAGTTAGCCTGCAATATTGCATTCTAACCACTGCACTCATATAAATTGAATATATAATAGTTGGTCACAGAGCCAGACATTTAGACTGGATTTGGCATTTTTGTCCACCTCTGAAGACCTTCCAAGGTCCTAGGCTAGGCATAAGTTGTTATGTGATGTTAAGGTATTGTCATAGGCTGTAAGTTGCAATTGGCTGAGGGTGATTTTATCAATACCAATGGTTTTCAAGTGGTGCTTCAGATATTTTAGAATTGCATCCAGGGCACCTAGTACTATGATTATATACACAAAAATTATGTGAAATCCTAGCTGGCAGTTTTTTAGCTAGTGTTGGGCTTTGTACACATTGAGTTCTTCCCAAGAACCTAGGATGTCATAATATATTTTTAATACATATGCACATCCATGCAGTATGGTCTTTTGTAATTGACTGATAGAAATTTTATCAATGTGCATATTTTCTAAGTGTTGTCCAAGATTTTTCAACATGACACCCAGTGCAAGGATAACTACTAAGACCATCATGGCCATAATCTTTCGATTTTCAGATTTTAATGCTTTGTGATCTTCTTTAATTCTTTGTCTTCTATTCTACTATCTCTTGATATTACCACATCAATAATCCATACTTTCTTCTTTTCAACCTCAGTTAAATGCGCTGTGTTATGAGCCAAGATTTTATCAGTTCATATTTGGAAATTCCACAATATTTTAACTTGCTCATTTTCCTCTTTTAACTCTGTGTTTTCATCAATTTTTTATTATTGGCACATGATGTTCCAATGAATCATGTTCACAATTGTGTTATGTCATTATAATCAGTTTGTACAATCTTCTTCCACAAATATATGATCTAGTGTTTCTTTTGTCTCTGCACAATCTGCATTTTGAATCATTTGGACAATGGATATTGTTTTCTTATTCCATTTGAATCCTATTTTTATCTAGTCCTTTTCTTTGGGGAGATTCATTATTGTTCATATCTTCTCCATTTCAAGACTATGTCTCACACTAGTTTTATAAACTTCACCAGATTGATAAGCATCAATTATCTTTATTTTGTGTGGAGGTCTTCAGAAATTTCTTTAGGAGCAGGACATGGCATGCCTTATTTGTGTGACAAGAAGCCTACAGTACTGAGAGGAGTTAAATCTATAAGATGTTTATAGGGAAGCACTGGTCCAAATCAGCTTTGAATGTCTAATGAAGTACTCACAAAAGTGATACTAGTTGTTTCTTTAATTGTATTGATTGAACTAGGGAGATGATACTTTTTCCACATTGCCAGATCACCTATTGAATTTATGAAATAAAAGAAACATTGCTGTTATTTGTTCACACAGACTATATATTATTATAATTACGTAAATAGTATATAGTATTCAAACAAAGCTTTAATATATAATGGCAAAGTTTTGCAAATGTTTGTAAGATCTGAAAGGGGTAAATACTTACACAGACTTGTAAGATGATTATAAAAGCCATGATGGTACAGTGGTTAGAATGCAGTATTGCAGGCTAACTCTGCCCACACACTACGAGTTCAATCCTGACCAGCTCGAGGTTGAATCAGCCTTCCATCTTTCCGAGGTCGGTTAAAATGAGGACTCAGATTGTTGGGGGAAATATGCTGACTTTGTAAACCGCTTAAAGAGAACTGTAAAGCTCTATGAAGCAATATATAAGTCTAAATCCTATTGCTATTTCTATATGTATTTTTTACAGTAATCATTGTCCAATGAGTGTCATTGCTGAGATGGGTGGCTATATAAATTGATTAAATAAATAAATTTAAATATATGGTGACCCTAAGAAAAAATAGATTCTCAGCTTGGAGAAAAAATGGGACGCCATCTCAGCCACAGGTTGCAAAATTCTTTACAACACTTTAGCAAGGACTTAAAACCTCCCCAAATCTGGCATGACTGTACTTTAAAAATTCAATTTGTCCATGTATGAACTCCTAATTTTTTCACCCTTCTCAAAGAGCAAATAATTACTTATTCCATTCGGTTTAATGAAAAATGTCTCTTTATGTTCGTTTTTTATTAAATGTCTTAAAAAAATTTCTGAGCCAGTCATTTTTTACTATATCTTACTGATGTTGTCAGTATTTATCTTTCCATTTCTTACCAACATTTTTCAGGCAGAGATGTTATATAAAAAAAATCCCAGACTACTGGAACAACTGCAATATTGTGAAGAAACGGGAATCCCACTGGCAATCATTGTTGGAGAACAAGAGCTAAATGATGGAGTAGTGAAACTTCGGGATGTTGTGACTAGGAAAGAGGTTGGTATTGGTGTTTAATAGAGTCAGCTTGAAACTGTTCTGAAATAATCTTCCCTAGAGCTGCTTGAACACCACTGAGATCATGTTTACAATTCAATTTTCCTCAGTAAAAATACTTTATTTTGATGAGTTGCACTAATCAAGTCTCTACTATCTGCTTTTTAGGTTAATATCCCTCAAGAGAATTTTATAGAGGAGATCAAAAGAAGGTTGGAAAAATACAATACTTAATTTCATATAATTGACATTTTATACTGCTCCTAAGTCTGACTTATATGCTTACATACTGCTCTTATGGAATACTGCAGGCCTGTTCAATATTTCATTTTTTTGTAATAAAATAATATTTCACATTTTAGTCAAACAAACCAAAATTTAGAGAATTGGACTTGTGTCATTGTACTTTTCTTATCCACTATTGCTGTGTACATAGCATATGTACTGGCCTTTCAAAAAGAATTAGCTTTGCTGTTATTGTCATTAATTATATTCCCCACTTACATTGCTAATCTGATTTGCATGTCAATTCCTGAATCTGCGGCTAACTACATGGTTGTAAACCAGTGCGGATAGATTTGTAAATGATTGATAAATGTTTCTAACATAGCCACACTCGTTGGTTTAGCCATCTGGCAAAACTCACCATCTGTAGTAGCCTGTTGATCAATGGCTTTGCAGATGTGCAGAGTTTTGAAAGAGTTCTTCACCCATATTGGTTAAGCCATCTTTCAAAATCAAGGGTCTCAACCAGTGTGATGATAAAATAGAGTTTCATTTTTCAAAAGGTACTACTTTTGAAATAACTGAATTCTCATGCTTTTACCCACCATTTCCCAGAGCTGATCTGCAAGATACAGTGTATAATGCTCCAGCCAAATTTTCCAGCTCCACAAACAGAATGGACCTGGAAGAGATAGGACAGTGGTGGCGAACCTATGGCACGGGTGCCAGAGGCGGCACTCAGAGCCCTCTCTGTGGGCACGCGCACCGTTGCCCCAGTCCTAGGCCTTCAGCTGGGTTTTATAAAACCTTTTCGCTTTAGGCCTCCACCGCCGTGTACAAAAAAAAAAGGTTTAATCAATCAGTCAATTTCAACTTCTCTCAGGGAAAAAAAAATCTTGCAAAGTTGGAATTGATTGATTGAACTTTTTAGTCCCACCCAGTCTGCCGTTACCACCGCAGCCACGCCCACCCAATGGGCCACACCCACCCGGCACCTGACGATGCATAAGTGGGTTTTGGGTTGCAGTTTGGGCACTCGGTCTCTAAAAGGTTTGCCATCACTGAGATAGGAGATCAATAAGTGCTGATCTGATCACATTCTCTATTGCCACTTGACTACACAGCCAACAAGTATATCTGTGACAGCTTATATTCATTTATGGTCTCCTGTGGATTGTTAACTTACTGTAAAGGAATTTAGGACTGACCTTGGGGAAGGTATGTGAGAAATGTTGGGGGGGCAGGAGAAAAGCTATTGGGGGAGTGGTAGAAAAAATGTCAAACCTTCAAACGTTCTGAATACAGCCATGTTTTTTCATTTTTCGGTTGCCACAGCAATGGAAAGGGGGAAATGCATTCTTCTAGATCAAAACAGTAACTTTCTTGTGGGAACCAGCAGCCTAAGTGTTTGCGGGCTGGAGCTACTATTAGGAAGCTCGCCAAAGGTGTTAATTGGGGATTGTGATGTATGACACACTAAGGGGTGGGAAGTTCAACTTTTACTTTGTAACCTTTTGGGGGGGGACTTTCAGTCTTGGTTTTACCTTTGTTCGTGCTGATATTATGTAGCCATTAAAAGTGTTCTTTGAGGAAAGCAATTGCCTCAGAGTTCTTACTTCTACTGGTCTCATCGATCGGAACCATGACATTAAACCAAGACTCCAAAATTCATTTATCCATGGGGTCCTGAGCCCCGGTCACCTACCCAACCCTTGGGAGGACGACAAAGACTCAGGGAAGATGCAGAGATGGAAAAGAAAGGAGAATCAATTTCGAGCCTTGGAGCAGCTGCATCAGATGAGACGCAGGCTGCTGCTTTCGTGGAGAACGAGACCAAACCTGTGAAGTCCCGGTGGAGAAGCTGACTCAGAAGGAGGAAGCAATCATCCTCGTGAGGACCTGGCAGTCCAACGCTGCCCTGCCTCTCAAGAGCACGCTAAAGGCTGCAGAGGTTGAATTCCCCCTGATTTCATTGCCTACTCTTCTTTTGCCAGTAGTGATGAAAGCAAAGCGGTAAGCAGCCTGGGACAAATCCGGTGAGTGGAAGTATCTGATGGCCATCCACAGCTACTCAGTGGAACGCCTGAGGGAGAAGTTTGATCGGCTGGAGATGGGCGAAGGAAGACAAGCCATCTGCCAGGTGTTTTCAGGTGGGCGGGAGGACAAGTGATCTCATGAACCTCCGCCACCCCGACAGAGTCCTAGTCCTCTGGTGATCTAGTGGGCCGCCTCTCCACTACCGAAGCCTGACCTGACATCAAGTCTGGTGCACTGGCGGGGCCCCAACCGCTACCGATGCCAGGTCAGCCCAGATCGATCCCAATGACAGGTTAGTCCTGAATATTACAGGCGTTCTGCCAGCTCCGAGCGACACAGGCGTCCCATTAGCCCTGCAAGCTAATGGGTGCTATTGGCACTATGCTAACGCCGATCGCCATTGGCATCCTGCCAGCCCAGATCGCCACCAGCGCCCAGTGGAACTTGACCCCTATCGACATCGTGCCAGCCCTGACTGCCGTAGGCGTCCTGCCAGCCCAAGACCTCCACCAGGGGTTTTCTGATGAGGGGGGTTGCAGCAGCCCCAACCACAGTTCCCTGGCATACTGCAGGCTCTTTGGGATCACCGCCCAGCCGACCCACCTCTTAAGACCACTTTTGATGGAGACCCCGAAAAGGTGACTATCTTCCTGAACCAGGTGTGGTCTCACATTAATTGTTATGAACGGACGTATTTGGATGAAGCCGAGATGATTGATGCTGTAGCTGACAATCTGGAGGGGGAGCTGTGAAGTGGAAGTCTGGCCTACGAGAGGCGTAGGCACCCAAGTTATGGAACTTTGATCTGTTCACGTATGGATTGAGGGCCGACTTGAGGATAAATCCCAAATGGTAGAGGCAGAGAAAGACCTCCACAATGTGAAGCAGAGGGGTCGGCCAGCAAGAGAATACTTAGAGACTTTCGAAGGCCCAAGCAGTCATTGATCCACTACTTCAAAGCAGGGTTGGATCGCAACCTATTCCAGACATGCATCTGCAGGGGCAATCCTAATCAACTCCATGATTGGTACCACTTAGCTACAGATATGGATATCGAAGCAAAAGGAGCCAGCTAAACGCCTGCCTACACCAGACCCATATGACAGCGATGATGGGGGGGAAGACGACCCAATGATGAGTCAGTCTGTCCCACCTTTTGCTTTTTCTGCCAAAATACTGGTGACAAAATCGGGCTCAGTTGGAATTGAACATTTTAGTCAATTTAGGATGCACTCGATGTTTGATCAACCTCCCTACTGTACTAAAACTGCGCATTAGAGCGAAATTGCTACCTCTACCCATAAGGTTTGAGCAGGCCGATGGATCTCTCATAGGAAGAGCCCCAGCTACCCACCTAACTGAACTAGAAATAGGGGAGCATTGGGAGTTAATCCGCTTTGTGGTGATCTAAAAATGACTGAAGCAGTGATTTGGTGGGAGAATGGAGTTAGGACTTTAAGATTAGCAACTGTAATCGGGTTATCAGGTTGACATAGAATAACTTGTCACTTTAAATGTACACTAATCGCCATAAATTAAAATGAAATTTCATTGCATATAGATCTCAGAGGGTCACCACCTCCAATAACACTACATAAATATGACAAAAAATTGCATATACCCATATACCCACATGTATTCTATGACACAGAGAAACAACACAGCCTAGTTCGAATATATGCATGTACATGGCAAGAAAAACAAGTTTTGCAAGTTTACCAGATGGATGGCACAGGGAACAAAGCTGTTACAGAATCTGGTAGTCCTGGAAATACTTCGAAAGCTCTTCCCAGAGGGGAGCAACAGAAATAAACCGTAAAGTGGATGTGTGGGGTCCCTAACAATGCTTCAAGCTCTAAGCACAAAGCGCTTATAAACAGTGTCCTGAATAACAGGAAACGAGCTTCCTATAATCTTCGCTGTCCTTGCCACTCTCTGTATGGACCTTCTATCTGCCACTGCTGCCACCAAACCAAACAGTGATGCAGTTTGTTAAAATGCTCTCAATCATGCCTCTGTAAAAAGTGGCTAGGACAGAAGGAGAAAGATGCCAGCCTGCTCACAGAGGAACAGTCACTATTAACATAGAGCCCTTCCTTAACTCTAGCAAATAATTAAGAGCATAGAAATGCAGTCGAGGTAGCTTTCTTCCCCCCCCACACACACACCCCCCCCAATCAACGTTATTGGGGGCCTAAATATCCAGTTACATATATAGCTTGCCCTGCAGTTTCAAATATCAAGCAACTTCTCTTAACTCAAAATAGTCAACAGAAAAAGAAAAGAATGGAATGCTTCATTCAGTTGTAAATCATATTTGCAAACTAGCTATTTGTTTAATGAAAGTGAAAATTTCCAAAATTTTGTTTTGCGTGAAGTTTCTATTAAATCCTAGGTTGGGATGAGATGAAGGCAATATGGAGACCCAGTTGAAAAAAATATTACCAAGACATGCTTATTGAATGCTTAGATTTTACTTACGGTATTTACATTTCATATTTCTAAACCACTCATCTCCCTCAGACCTCTGTTCAAATTATATAGCTTTGTCCTAATTAATATCTGGCTTTAGACATGCAGTAATAAATACTATAGATCTTTTGTTCTGTTTTATGCACTTGCCATAGTTAGTCTTAAATGGATCAATTGTATATCTGTAGATGCATTGCATCAGTTAAACCGTTTGTGCCAGACGGTTCTAAATGATTTTGGAATGCAGTTGGGGTGTTTTCATTCCTCCTTAGTCAGTGATACTGTCAAAGCCTGGCTACTGTATGAAATTTAAAAAATCAATTAGAGAGTGGAAATTTGCTCTTCATTGTACAAGTAAAAAGGAAGTATCATAGTAAGCTACGAGCACTTCTGATTGGTGCTTTGGAATGCATGAATATAGTGCATGTTTGCACCTCTTTAAAGCAACTATATCTTTTCACAGCATCATACAGCAACTACAGTCAAAGAGAAATTTAACAAAGAGAATCTTGAGCCCAGATCTCTGTTCACCCAATTTAGTGAATTGCCAGTGCAGGAAGGGCTATCTGAGAGAGCCAGGGCCCAGGCATTTCCTAATCTCTTTAGAGCCCCACCCACCCACGTGTTAGAAACACGTTAAAATAGGAAAGAAAATGATAAGTAAGCACCTGTCCGCCCTAGACGAGTTCAAGTCACTAGGACCAGATGGATTACACCCCAAGGTTCTGAAGGAACTGACAGATGTGATATCAGAACCACTGAACTATATCTTTCAAAGATCCTGGAGCACTCGGGAACTACCAGAGGACTGGAAAAGAGCTGATGTAGTTCCCATCTTCAAAAAAGGGGGGGAAATGGATCCAGGGAACTACAGACCTATCAGCCTGACCTCAATACCTGGGAAGATTCTGGAAAAGATAATCAACAAATCCGTGAACACCTAGAGGCAAACAAAGTCATAACCAAAAGCCAACATGGATTTGTCAAAAAGAGATCATGCCAGACAAATCTTCTTGCCTTCTTTGGCAAGGTGACAAAATTAGTGGACTAAAGGAATGCTGTGAATATAATTTGCTTGGATTTCAGTAATGTATTTGATAAAGTAGACTACAACCTACTACTTAATAAGATAGAAAAATGTGGGTTAGACAGCATCACCACCAGATGGATTAGTAAGTGGCTGACCAACCACACTCAGTGTGTTGTCCTCAATGCCCCATTCCAGGCATACGGAGCTTACAATCTCTCTCAGGTCTCCATTCGGATAAAAAGTGTTTCGGCGCCTATGGAGTGCTTCAAAATGCAGGGATTCACTGCGTTTTGAAGCGCTCCATAGGCGCTGAAACACTTTTTATCCAAATGGAGACCTGAGAGAGACTGTAAGTTCCACATGGCTGCCAATGCACGCTTAAAAACAGCAGAAGGCTCTGTTTATCAAGCGCCCCATTTCAGGCATATGGAGCTTGCAGTCTCTCAGGTCTCCATTTGGATAAAAAGAGTTGTTGTAAGTCTTCTTCATTTTTATTATCATTACATACAGATTCAACAATATTCTTAGTAGATAATGCCTTAATCAAGGGAGCATACACATTTGACACTACAAAGGAGTTTGATGTACTAATTAATCTCCATTTGTGGTGGCTTGAAGTTATGTAGAGTTTTTCTTAATTACTTATTTCCCAAATTAGTAAGTAAAATTAACCATGAAAAACTCTTTAATAAAAAAATAGCTGTGTTTATCCTAGGAGAAACACAAAAAAGGTATTTGTAGATATGGAGTTCCATGTATAAACGTTTACTGTATCACCATCTTCACATGAGAGCCAAAATATTTATAATTGTATTAAAGCATTTTTTTAAAAATTGCATCTTACATAGTGTGAGCCCTCATCTCCACTTACATACATATGTATTCTGATAAAGTGGTAGGGGAGATATAGTAAGGTTAAGGAAGACAAAACCTAATTATTTGGGAATTTTTGTTCTGAGGTTAAAATGGGTGTCTTAAATCAATGGATGCTAACTGGTTTCTTAAAAATACAGACAAAATTGCTAAATTTTGGTAGGACAATCTCAAAGATGGGATGCTTTAGATTTAGGGGTTGTTGCAGCCTACCTCTGCCTTTGTGCAATCCTCCTTATCCCTAGCTTATGGTGGCTTCTATGAAGTTCTGACACCAAATAGCTGCTCACCAAACAGCCCTTAGAATTGGCCATTGGCTGGATTCATGCATTACACTAAGCCTTGTTTGCCTGGAATAATCGCAACTGGACGGGTTCACACAGCACACTAAAGCCAATAAACTATATTATGGTACAGTGTTGTGTGAACCCAACCATTGTAGTTAAATGATTTATGAAAATGTGCAAATATAGTTCCTGTGTTTTAAGATTAACCGATCCTAAACGTATGGCTTCCTGGCGTCAAAGGAGCTTATTTCTGAAAAGAGATGAACAGGACCGCAACTTCAAGGCGCAGGTTTCTAACGAAAAGAAAAACGGAAACACCAGGAGGATAAAGGGGAATAAAGTGCGCAACGTCACTTCCTCTCTTCGCTAGTTTCTCTTGCATCATCCAGCTCCGACTCGTCCCACCTCATCCCCGCTGCACACTGAGTTGAGCAGTGTGGGCAGATTTAGCTGCCTCAATACAAAGCAGTACGCATGCGTAGGGGACCAAAAGATTAAATTCTCCGGGTGAGAAAGCAAGGAGGGTGACTGGCGGCTCTCTCTCCCTTTTTTAAATTTTTTATTATCGGCGAAGGGGTGTCATCGTCATGGCTGAGGAAGAGGCGCTGAGGAAGCAGGCAGATACGGTGCGGCGCCTCAAGCAGGAGAAGGCTAGCCCGGAAGAGGTAAGGCGATGCACGGGACTACTGCATGGACAATCTTTTTCCATATTCCAGATTTCGGAGGTTCGTAATTTTCATAAAGTGCAGGAGAGAGGCACTCGAACTGACCTGCACGCGCTCTATGTCCATAACATACGGTATCACAGATCACCCGTTCTAAAGCGTAGATTGGACTGGTGAGACAGCATTCATAATTTCTACTGGGCAAGAACCACGCTGTTTGGGAGTTTCTGCATTGGTTCTTTATAATATAATGATGTTGGAAGGGACCTTGAAGGTCATCTAGTCCAACCCCCCCCTGCTCAGGCAGGAAACCCTATACCATTTCAGACAAATGGCTGTCCAGTCTCTTCTTTAAAACTCCAGTGTTGGAGCATTCACAGCTTCTGGAGGCAGGTTGTTCCATTGATTAATTGTTCTAACTGTCAGGAAATTTCTCCTTAGTTCTAGGTTGCCTCTCTCTTTGTTAGTTTCTATCCATTGCTTCTTGCCTTGCCTTCAGGTGCTTTGGAGAATAGCTTGACTCCCTCTTCTTTGTGGCAGCCCCTGAGATAATTGGAACACTGCTATCATGTCCCCCCTCGTCGTCCTCTTCATTAAACGAGACATATCCCAATGCCAGCAACCGTTCCTTATATGTTTTAGCCTCCAATCCCTGGTCATCTTTGTTGCTCTTCTCTGTAGTCTTTTTAGAGTCTCAGCATCTTTAGAGTCTCAGCATCATGGTGATCAAAACTGGATACAGTATTCCAAGTGTGGCCTTACCAAGGCATTGTAAAGTGGTATTAACACCTCACATGATCTTGATTCTATCCCTCTGTTAATGCAACCCAGGATTGCATTGGCTTTTTTGGCAGCTGCAGCACACTGTTGGCTCATATTTAAGCGTTTGTCAACTAGGACTCCGAGATCCCTCTCACAGATACTACTATTGAGCAAGGTATCAATATATATAAAGATATATGTTCCTTGCTAGCATAGGATGCAGAAGCTGCTATATTTTGGGCAATATTCTTATTTTTGCTTCTATGTGATTAACATAGGTGACCACCTTTGTTGATCTGGGAGACAGCTCCACCAAAGAAAATGGATTTTATTTCTCAGTGACTATACACTGTACAAGACCTTTTAATGTAGTCTATCCTAAAATATGGTTTGCAAATATCTCAAATCAATACAACCATCTTATTCCTCACTGCTTCACCATGTAATATCTCTAATGATAACTAAAACAAAATCTAGAGCCTGCATGTAAATAACCACCCTTCTGAACTAGGACAATTTATACTAAACTGTATCTCTCTCTAGTGGCACACAGAACAGACTACAAGAACCACTGAAAGTCAAAATAGGATACGGTACATTGAAAGCGCACAATGCAGTGGCAAATAATTTGTAAAACCACGGACCACGTGAGAAGCTAGATGAATGTCACACTCCTCCTGCTTATTTTCAAAGTGGAACTGATTTACCCGAAGGGTCAGACTGCATTATGTACAGGTGAAAGAAAATGCACTTAATACAAGTCTCAAGTTGATATACCATTTGAGCATAGAATTATGTTGTATCAAATATTTGGGCTACTTCAAAATAAACTACAGCAATGTGACCGCAACTTTAAGGGGTACTGGGCAGAAAATGTCCTGCAGCCAAGAAGGCTGCACACACATTTGCACTTCTCAGTTACCCTGAGGACACAGGTAAACCTCCAAAATGGTTTCAACCACTCTCTAAAGGAATGCAAATGACCAAATGCAAATGGCCATCTGTCTGCAAGCAATATAAATCCTTCCATTCCCCACCATCTAGTCAGAGCTGAAGAAGCTTCTTGGATGAGAAGCAAAACGTCTTCAAAAGAAACACAAAGTCCAGTTGCGTCCTGAAAAAAACACCTTTGGTACAGCAATGTGACAACGTATTATGCCATAAACCAAACAGCATAGTGTTGAGCTGGAGATCTCGGGAAAATCCCAGAGATGTAGACTAGATTGGGAAGCCTTAAAAACCCAGAAGGCAACAAGGTCGTGGTTGCCAAGAAAATTACATGGATGTTTTTGTGTATTCAGGAGGATCTGAGATTGACTGAAGAGATCTTTATAATGATAAGCGCTGGCCCTGGAAATCTACCATTAATACTATCCTATTGAAACTGTTTCCTCACTTCCATTTACCTTCCTCATTCTTTGCTCATTAAATATTGATTCCCTTTTAGTTGTGCTTTGCTGATTTGGGCAGGGGGGAAATCACAAAGAAAGCTATGTAACAAGCTCTTGTAATAATTAAATGTATGTAGAAATTTCCAAGTTTTTCAGTGACTTTAATCTTGCATACCTCAAGGTTATAGTGTAAAATCATACCAAATCCTTACAAAGCTAGGTTAATATATCTGAAAAGCAGAATAAATAAACATCCGTTTTCAAAAATGTAAATGAAATGTTGTTATACTGTAAGAGGCTATATGCTTATATGCTGTTGGGAAAGAAACAGCACCAGTATACAATCTTTACTGGACAGAATATTGTGCATATAGTATATGTTTGTTTTTCTTGATGTAATATTGGTTATTGCTTTCTAAATCAACCCCAGTTGAGAATAGGTGTTGTTCCCTATTCTACTAGCTTTCTAGGAAATTTCGGGGGGGGGGGGTTTACAACTTATATTGAAGTAATTTTTTAAAAATTTAAAGAGGGAAGAAGTGGTGGCTATGTTGAGCCATGAAAAAAATGATAAAATGTGCAGTAAGACAATATAGAAAAAGGATATTTGGGTCAGGAGCCTATCCCAATATGCAGCAATAAACAAAAACACTGTACATTGTAAGTAACAATAACTATGTAATTTACGGTGATTAAAAATATCTTTCAGATCACAAAGCAAGTGTCAAAGCTGCTGGAGATGAAGTCAGCAATGCATCCTGAAGAAGGCAAGCATAAATTTGTTTTGAAGACACCAAAGGTAAAGTCTTCAACTTTTCCTTTTTTCCATTGCAATTCATGGAATGCTTACATTTACAGGTAGTTCTTGACTTACAACCCTCTGTTTAATCCCTATTCAAAGTTACAACACTGAAAAAAGTGACTTATAACGTATAACAATTACAATCGTTGCAGCATCCCCATGGTCACATGATTAAAATTTGGGTGCTTGGCAGCTAGCATGTATTTATGACAGTATGTCCCAAGGGTCACCTGATCACCATTTGTAACTTTCCCAGTTGGCTTCCAACAAAGTCAATGGGGGAAGCCAAATTTACTTAACAACCTCACAATTCACTTAACTGCAGTGATTCATTTGACAACTATGGCAAAAAAGTTATAAAATGGGGCACAACTTAGTTAACAACTGTCTTGCTTAGGAACAGAAATTTTGGTTTCATTGTGGTTGTAAGTCAAGGACTATCTGTATTCAGTTTTATGCTATCAAAAAGACTTTTTGGGATCAAGGAAGAATTTGATGATTCTTCATTATGATCTCTGTGTCACAAGTGTACTAGATTTTCATCTGCATAAGCCCCAGCTTTAGAATCTACTACAGCTGTGATGGTTTTTTTTAATGAAGAAATTTTTCTTTAGTATACAAATTTCTGGGTGCAGTGTTTGCCTTTCCCCCCAGCTTCCTTTTAACCTTTAACACTGGAAAAAAATGTCTCCAAACTAAATCCTGTGCTGAAAAAAATTGCTTTTTTGAAGCATGTTTTCTATCTTTTGCAAGCTAAATAAGGTGTTCAGTAAGCAAAATATTTAGGGAAGTTGTACAGGTAGTCCTTGACTTATGACCACAATTGGGACTGGAATTTTGGTCACTAAGCTATCTAGTCATTAAGCAAGTCATCATGTGGCTGGACCCATTTTTACAATCATTTTACCAGTCATTAAGGGAGATATAAAGTGATATGATTTTATAAAATAAAACAAAAATATTTTGGTAAGATGTACAGTTCTATAGACACTTCGAAAACCATGGATCTGTAACTGCACACCATACTGGAAGTGATGCTAGAGACATGTGAATATTGTCAAAAGGTGCTGTACCTATCGGTAATTATTAATGGATTGGCAATATTCAGTAATCGTTATATAATCGGTAGGTATTATATGCTATCAAAATGAAAGTTT